AAAATGTATGTTGAGTACTGATAATCTTTTTTCTTGTCCTTTTCTATCAATGAACGTCTTTTGTCTACATGCTCTTGTTTGTTAACTAATTAAAATGCATTTAAAAAAAGTTTGGCAGTTGAGTTTTCTAAGTGCTATAAGGGAAGATGCTTTTCATTCTTCAATATTTTTTAGATTCCCCCCTCCTTTTGTACAATAGTTGCATTTTAAGTATCCAATGTTATGTCCATAGTCAATAATTATAAATGTTTCTAGTTATGTCAGAGGAATAAGTTAACAAAATATTGATTTATCCCCTTCTTTCTGTGATTTAAGTGCATACTGAGTACAGTACTCGGGACTAACCATGTATGTACAGATGCATGTTAAATCAGTTTGTTCACTCTGATTACACTTAATTATATCAAATTGAAGTGTGTCCTCACCACTTTGCTATGCTTTCTTGAGGTACTTCTCTTGTTAATCATAATGTCCCACATAACTCTGTGCTTTTTCAAAATAACCATACAGCACTCTGGGCAGATATCCTGTGGTTCAATTTTCTGCTGCCTAGCTCAGTGTAGTCTGATATTTTTCTCAAGATGCATGTTGGGGTGCTTACTCAAACCTGAATATGGGCTTTGTTGAAGTTTTATAATAATTCAGCTTATTTGTTCTTAAATCCTCTTGGATAAATACCATCTGATCCTGGTGTTTTATATCTTTTTAATTAACTAGCTTTGTTCCAGAACTACCTCTTTGAAACTTCACTCTGACAGTATTTCATCTTTATAACATGAAAAGTACAGATCTATGGGAAGTATCTCCTCAAAAGTCTATGTGAAGACTGATGCAAAGAAGTTATTTCTTCTTAATGTCTTTATTCCCATTAGTTGATCCACACATTCTCATGTAGGCTTTCTGCTTCTGGATGTGCTTAAATAATTTATTTTTATGTACATGGCTGCTTATTCTTTAAGTTCCTTTTTCATTTTCATATTTTTTTTTTGTCATACATGATACTTACAACTTTTTATGTTCCTTTCAACTGTATTCCTTTGGGCCAAATTTACATTTCTAAGGGTATCTGTTTAGCCATGTGACCTGTTGAACCTTGACATTTAACCATTCAAAATTATGCTCTACAGTAATAAAGAAAAAATGATATTTCTCTCTATACAAGAGAGGCCTTTCTAGTCTTTCAGTAATGCAGTAGATTCATGCTTGCAAACTGATATAGGAAGCTTTGGAACATCTATACATAATATGTTGGACCACTTGAAAGAAATGGGAGAAATTCAAAGATTTCAGCATTAATATTACTTGTTCTTATTCCAACAGAATAAATGTTTAGCAGCTTAAATCTTTTGCACATATAGAACTTTAGATTATCACAAAAATATGCATATCCATAAACAAAAATAGATATTAAAATAATTTTAAATGGTTAAATGTCAAGTTTCAACAGGTTTCATAAGCTAAACAGATATATGGATATGCATATCCATACATTTTGTTTGTATAATGTGTTTGTACAGGAATTCATTGCTTTGATGAATTGCCCTTAGGATATTTAATGGAGTTGTAATCAGACATTGTGATTTTTGTTGAGATCATGGTTATGTATAGTGACTCCTGATTTGATTTGTCTGAAGGGTTTAGATTTATTATGAGTCATTTACAAATATTTAGTTCCACTTGATGAAAAATTCAGTTTTTCCTGAATCTGCTGACTGCACCCAACTCTCAAACATAAAAATGTCCTTTTCAAATGAAAATGGAGACACACAGGAGGAAGCGTGTGTGCAAGAGAGAGAGAGAATGGAATGGATTGAAACTGTTCAGTGAGTTAAGGATGAGCTTCAATCAGAAGAGCAGAGCAAGGATTAGGGATGTAAGCGAATAGTCAAGGCTAAGCTTATCTGGTAGTCAAGTCAAGTACTCGACTATTTGCCCCCCTCCCCCTCCGCTGCCTCTGTACGAGAGGCAGCAAGGGGCAGGAGAAACAGGAGCTGGTACTTGGGGGGAGCCAGCTTAAAAGCTAGTTCCCCCGCAGCACTGTCTCTGTGGTGCCGGCTGCCTCCTCCCCTGCTGCCTCTATAAGAGGCAGCAGAGAGGGGGAGGACTAGGGAAGGCTGCTATCCATGGCAACCTGAAACTGAACAGTCCTGAATCATGCCAGTCCAGAACCACTGTGCCTCTGCATTTTTAAATGTAGTAAAATGCAGAGCTGCAGTGATTCGGAGTTGGCGTGAGCCAGGATTGTTCAGTTGTGGCTCGTACTGGATCCAGGAGCTGTCCCCGATGCGGCTCTGTGGAGCAGCCCCTCTTATCAACTAATGTGTTTCTTTTGCGTGTGTCTCCAATTTGTAAGGATTGAAATGGCATATGTCTACTGAAAGTTTTGAAAAAGGTGTATTGTATATTGAAACACTTAATCAAGGTGTCACCTGGTTTCTAGTGACTAGTCCACGTAGAATAGGAGTCTGCTGCTATTGACAGCTAAGGGAGATGCTCTTTTAACACAAGCAGCAAGTGTATGTATTTTTGGTGCTTAAGATTCCTGGTTGTATCTCTGCAGATATTTTGAGCTGGTAGATGGGCACAGTATTTTATAAGCCTCTTGTAGGCACTCAAATTCTGACTTTTTGTGTGAATCCAGATTTGAAAACTGTATCATTCAATACAATAACCATTTTAAGCATAATTTATTCCTGAACTTCTATGTAGGTTCTTTTTATGGTTCTTAATGTTTTGTTAAACTGGATTCTAAAGTTTTAAGTAAATGACATTATTATCTTGATCTGTACGATTTAATCTAATGGTACTTCTGTTTCATACCAGTGTAACTTAATTTATTTTAATCAAATTCAAACAATGTGAAAGTAAAACAACTCCTTAGTCAGTTGAGTCCTGCTTGCCTTGTTCTTAATAACATAAGTGAGTAAACACATTAAGTTAAAAATATACATAAATATTAAACATAATTCAAAACCTTGTTTGAATTCAGTTTGCCCTATTTTCTCATACAATTTATACTGTGTTGGATCTAAGCAAAATTTGCTTGTTTTTAAAAATACATCAGTTTTGAGAATATAACCTTTTAAAACTTCTCATTATCCTCCACCTAGTGGATAAACTGTGTATTTATGGAATAGTTATGAAAGGTATAGCAAAAAGAATTGGAATAAAAAAATGTATGGTCAATTTACTATGTGAGAGAGGACTGAAGGATATTTTTGTTGTTTTCTAGATGTAACAATGGACTTTTAAATATCGAAGATGTTCTTACAAGTTTTGACAACACAGGAAATGTCTGTAAGTTATTAATTTATTCTATATATACAATGTTGTAAGGGTAGAATCTTGATTTTTGTTAATATAAAGCATTACAATATGACTGTTCTATACCAATCTGTCTTACCTGGAAACACTGATATTACTGTGATGGTAGGATACAAAACTTTACAATTGATAAATGTATATTTTCTGCCATTTTATAGATTAGAATTTGTAAAAACAGACAGGTCTGATCAATGCAAATTTCTGATTTTTGTTTTATCTTGACTACAAATATCTTGGGGCTACAACAAGTGTTAGGACATATTACTGTCAACAGCTTACAATTTAGAATGAATGGAAGTCTCTTGTCTATGAGTTAGCCATAGAAGCAGATAATTTAAAGCATTTTTCTTTCAAGTTGTAAAGCCATTTGTACTCCCATTTCTTTGAGGAAACACTTCATAATATCAGAGAGGGAAGTAATTGAGTAGACCTTGGTTTGACCTATTCTGAGTTTGGTGGAGTAACTAAGGGTTGGTGTTACAGTCTGTTTTGACAGTGTTAGATATTTGTATGAGGATTGATTTGCAAATATTGAATGAATAAAATAGTCTATTTTTTAAAACAATGGTATTGAGAAAATCTGTATTATGTTGGAAACAAAAATGCAAATGGGGAGAGAAGGGAGTAGAAATATTTCTATGTGTTTTGAAAGCATCACCATAGTAAAAATTGTCTGCATGCATTAGGTGCTTGATCCTTCACACTCACGTTCTATTTCAGGTTTGTTTGTTTGCTTTTTTTGATTGACAGGCTTACAAAATAAATTTGGGGGTCTCTAAAGATCATGAAGTCAAGAGAGAAGCTCATTTTTTATTCTGCTCCAAACTATAACATGAGACTATTTTTCTCAAATATAGCTTTCACACCTCAAAACTCCTGTTTTTCTCCTTAACTTAAAGTTATATTTCAGTAAATGTTGACAACAGAAGAACAGAATAATATCAATATATTAAAGTGACCTTTTGACTTTGAAGGATAATAAATCTAAAGTATGGATAGCCGTTTGAGACTAACGTTCTGTGCCATCCAGTCTTGGCTTGGTAGCCGTCTTCTTTTTTGAACACTGCAGAATTTCTTATGCACAGGCCAAAAATACTTAGAAAATGTTTTTGAAGTAATGCCAGGTAGGTGAACTAGTTCACAGGTTTTAAGAGAGAAATGAAATCTACAGGGAGCCCCCAAAAAAAATCAAGGCTACGGGAGAAAATCCAAATTTTGCAATAAAGGCTGATGTTAGGGGAGATGTGAGTCACCAAGTTGCTGGAAAACTAAGACAATTGAAAGGAATGGGATAATATGTGGATTTAGGCGCATGCCTTGGAATTTTTGAGGGGCAAAAAATGGGGTGTCACAGGTTGAACCTCTCTAGTCTGGCACACTCTGGTCCGGCAACATCTGTGGTCTGGCATGATTTTAGTTAGCTGGATTTCTACTTATCATGGGTATAGCCGTTGTATAAAGTTTGTTCACAGCCACTAGTCCTGGCTTTCAGTGTTCTGGGCTGTTATTTAGCTCTAATTTACTTGTACATGTCTTCATGGAACCCAGCAAGCAGTGGAAGTGTTAGTAATGCTGCTAGACAATATTGACCTCCTATGGTTTGGCAAATTCTCTGATTTGGCACTGTCCATGTCCTAAGGGTGCTGGATTAGAGAAGTTCAACCTGTACTAAAAATTCTTGTTTAAAAGATAGATCACATTTTTAAAAAATTATCACAGATTCATAGATTATGATTACCTAGTTCTACCTTCTATTTATCACAGGCCATTGGATTTCCTGAATTGCTTCATGTTCGAACTAGAGTGTATCTTTTAGAAAAACATCCAGTCTTGCTTTTAAAAGTTCCCAATGATGGAGAATCCACCACAGCCCTTAGTAAGGTGTTCAGATGGTCAGTTACTTGCACTGTTAAAAATTTGCACCTTAATTTATATCTGAATTTGACTAGTATTAACTTAGAGCTATTGGCTCTTGTTATACCTTTGATTGCTGGTGAAAAGAGACTTCTATTATCAAATTTCTGTTCCCCATGTGGATACTTGTAGACTGTGATCAAGCCAACCCATAAACTTCTCTTGGATAAGCTAAATACATTTCCTCCAGTTTTACACTTATAAGGTATATTTTCTAATCCTTTAATCATTCTTGTGGCTTTACTTTGAACTCTTTCCAGTTTATCAACATCCTTCTTGAATTGAGGATGCCGGAAACTGGACACAGAATTCCAGTAGCACTTGCACCAGTGCCAGATACAGAGGTATTATAACCTCTGTTGTCCTACTGTTTATACATCCAAGGATCTCATTAATCTTTTTGGCCACAGAATCACATTGGGAGTTCATATTCAGCTGATTATCCACCATGTCTGACAAATAGTTTTTCAGAGTTGCTGCTTCCAAGGATAGATTCCCACATTTTGTATATATGTCCTTCAGTCTGTTTGTGGATTTGTAACTTCACATTTGTCTGTATTAAAATACCTGTTGTTGCTTATAACTAGCTTACCAAAGCAATCCACATCACTCTGTATCAGTGATTGGCCTCTGCATTATTTATCATTTCCCTCAATCTCCGTGTAATCTGTAAACTTTATCAGTGATGATTTTGTTTTCTTTCAGATTACTGAGAAAAATATTAGTGTTCTCATTATCAATCAAACTTGTAATTTTATTTTAAAAAGCTAGTTTGGTAAGATCTATTTTCCATAATCCATTTTAGTTGGCATTTGCTTATATTCTCCTTCTTTAATTCTTTATTAATAAAGTCCTCTAACAGCAGTTTCATTATTTTGCTTGAGATCAATGTCAGGCTGAAAGGCATTTAGATAATTAGCTCATCCCATTTATCCTTGTAAAATATCCTTATTCTGTGGGCAGTTAGTCCTCCTGCATTGTCTTTTTTAACATTATTTTACAGTAAAATCGACAACTGTGGCTTTTGTACAGCAGTTTTAAAATTATGTTTCGGGGAAACAGAGCATTTGCGTAAACATTTTGAAGTTAGATTATTTTTGCGATGTCTTCTATTTTGATTTTTCTAGTGTTAGGTTTGACCTTCTTTTTCCCTATAAACCAGTGTCTGTTTTAAAAGAACTCCCCTGTTCAAAGAACAGTTTTCCCCTAAGTGATAGTCAAGGCATTAAATTACTTCTGTTAAGCAACTGTAATGAAACTGGTCAGTGACAGTGTGACCATAGGCATCCCGTATTTATATCCTACACACTATTGTAATTATATTTGTTCAAAATATGCCCTGTGAGGTGCTATTAGTTTTTTAAATAACACACTGCTTATTAATATAATTGTAAAATGTGTGTTAATGTTATATGTGAAATTATGGATACCTTCTCTGTGATGTTAATTCCAGACAGCCAGGCGTAGGTAAATATGATAAACAGATCTGTCTTAGACAAAGGAATGTGGGTTTACTTCAATTTACATATTAGCAGTAAACCAAGCTATTGAGCTCAACCAGCAGGCATATTATGATCCTGGACTGGAAGAAACAGAATATTAACATGGCTCCTGCACCCTGCCGAGGCACAGGAGGTTCGATCTCCAGGAGGCCTTCCTGCATTCTAAGACCAAAACAATCCCTCCTGGGATATGAGGAGCAGAGGAAAAACTCCATATTTATCCTTTCCCTTAGAAACAAGGGAGCCAAGTAGTTTGATCTCTGTGATGGATCCTGAGTAGGATGGTCAGTAAAAGCTGAAAACGAGAGTGTTTTTCTTACCCTCAATCTAGCAAGGTACAGTTTTTGTCCAAGATTAAGTTCTAGTCTTTTATATGCATGTTTTCATTTTATTTGTTTGAACCCATATCTATTTTTATTCCTTCAATTTGGTGTCACTTAACCTACATTGTTTATTAATAAGACTGTTTTATTTACTCTAAATCAATTCAGTGTTGTGTTTGAGGTGAACGGTGTGTTTACTCTAGGTAAATTAATAAACTGTAAAATCCTGCCATGAGGGCAGGGGACTGGATTCGATGACCTCTTGAGGTCCTTTCCAGTTCTAGTGTTCTATGATTCTACTGACATGATTAAAAAGGCACAGAGGTAACATTGTGGCTTAGAGCTCCAGCTGCCTCCAGCAGTGTGTACTGACAGATACAGCAATGGTGCCATATGTAGTAATACACTCTCCAGCTTAACAGGGTTCCCAGGTGTGGACTCCAGTGTTTCATTAGAGGTACACTATACACACACACAAGTTCACAGGAGGTGCTGCATTTTGTGTACATCTATACCTTGCTGTAGGGGTTTTGTCTACATTACTAGATAAAAATATAAAGCATTTACATTTTAATTTTGCTAACCATATATCTCTGTTATATATAGAACCAGTGCTTTAGTTACCATAGAATGTTTATACATTTAATATATGCTTTTATTAAATACTGATGTTTAGTGTTTTATAAAAATATCATAAGTATATGTGCTTGCTCCTCACATGTTATCTCAACCATAACATTTTGGTATCAAATAAGTCTGATTTTCATATCTTATTTCTTAGTTTTTTCCAGTAAAATTCCCAGCTCCCTTTATTAACACAAACTCCTTTAAAAGACCTTTTCTTGTTAGTGTTTTATTTGGTTGTTTAGTACCTGTACTTCACTATTTTTGCCTATAGTTCTTTAAATAATCCAGTGACATCACTGGACATCACTAAGAGCATGTCTACACTGGGGAGTTAATTAAAAAAAAAACCTCTCTTTATTTCAAAATAACTAGGTGAGCATCCATACTACCGAGCCTGTTGTTTCGCAATAATGGGCTTGTTATTTCAAAATAACAACTCCTGCTTGTGAAGAAGAATAAGCTTATTTCAAAATAGTTATTTTGAAATAATTTATTTTGAAATAACCTGGTAGTGTAGACATAGCCTAAGACTAGAATGTCAGAACAGATGGAAGTACATATTATCTGTTGTTACAACTCCCTGTAAACATTAACTCATTATAAGATG